CGGCTCCGCCGCGCCGGCCGCGAGGAGCTCGGCGCGGGCCGCGTCCATGCTGTGGTCCTCGCGCCATATGAGCATGGCCTCGAAGGCCGCGGCGGCGGCCCGGAGGGGCTCCTTCTCGCGCGCGTAGCCGCGCAGGAATCGCAACAGGCAGAGGTCGTCGTCGAGGGCCGGCCCGGGCAGCGGCGGCACGGCGTTGAGCGCCTTGCGCAGCGCGACGAGCTGCGCCTGCTCCGCGTCGCTCGCGAGGGCTGCCTCGAAGCCCATGGGTACACACCTTACCGCGGAGCCATCATCCAGAAGACGGAAGGCAACGTGCAGTTCAACGGACGATGGTTTACACGAGGGGCTCGAGGCGGACCTTGTTCGGATTCGGCGCGGGCCCGGGGTCGGGTGCGGGTTCGGGTTCCGGCTCTGGCCGGCGTTCCTCGTCGCAGGTGGGGAGCGGCGCGACCTGGCCCGGCGTCGGCCGCTTCGGCGCGGCGGCCGCGCCGACGGCGACGACTTTCTCGACGCGCTCGACGGCCCGGAGGAAGCGGTCCTTGGCGAGGATCCGCCGCGACGCGCGGCCGTCGTCGCCGTCGTCGGCCTCGCTTCGGCGGATCTCCGCGACCTTGGCGTCCCAGTAGTCGCGGCGCCAGCGGAGCTTGTCCTGGTCGTGCGTCGCCGCGTACTGGCGGAGGTCCCTGAGGCTGTGGCCCGACGCCGTGAAGAGCTTCTCGCCGACGAAGTTCAGGTGCTCCACGGTCAGCGACCGGCGCCGCGCCTCCGCGCGGTGCTCCTCGTGGACGTCGTCGACGGAGATCGTCGACCGCTCGCCGTCGCCGCCGAGCGCGGTCCAGTAGAAGGCCCTCTGGATTGCGACGAGCAGCTGGGGGTCGACGAACTGGCCGTTGAGCAGCGTCCTCACGATGTAGTCCGCCTCCGTGAGCTCCGGGTCGACGCCGTGGTCGACGTCGCGCTGCTTCAGGCGCGCGAACTTGAGCAGCAGCATCTCCTCGAGCTCGCGCGCGTTCGGGATCGCCTCCGCGCCCGACGAGATGCGCTGCCGGTGCCGCACGACGAAGCACTCGTGGATCGACGCCGTGAAGATGGCCACGTAGACGAGCGTGTACACGGCGAAGAGGCTCCGCGTCCAGCCCGGCGCGTCCGCGAGCCCGCCGACGTCGCCGTAGCCGATCGTCGTGCAGGAGACGACGCTGTAGTAGACCGCGTTGGACCAGGAGATGCCCAGCGTGAAGCGCGCGAGCGCCGTGTTCCCGAGCGGAA